TATATAAAAGTTACTTTTTAATAATAACATTTCGTAACACGCATAATTTTAACTTTGGGCAAGTGTCATAGTGTTTTCTAAATGGAATTTTTATCGTAATTCAACAAAATTACTGAAATTTTATATCCTAGTACAACTGAAAATGATCGGTCTTCCTAAAGATATCCTTAACCAGTGCAGTAACTAGCCATTCCTGTGCCCTGTGCAAGAATTTGCATTTAGGCCCCTTAATTAATTAGATTTGGGAAACATAACAAAACAAATACATGCATTTTGGGTCCCCCTTCTAAGTGGGCCCTGTGCTGGTGCACCTGCCTAGTTACGGCACTGTCCTTAATTAACCTCCTGTTTCAGCGCCGAGAAAGTCGAATCCTTGCCAGATATATTTTTCATAATTATAACTAATTTTGTGTACAGCACATAATATTTACTGTACAAAGTAATAAATGATACAAAGTAAATAAGTGATTTGGATTTATGAAATTTTCAATTCCAATAGAGCTCCCCAATGACCGCGTGGATAAAACCACCGAACACTGTTAGTTAGTTGATCGTAGGTTCGCGCCTCATTAACGGGTGACTGCGTGGAATTTTCCTGGCTTTCTTCACGTTTATAACACTTAAATAAGGGCCAGTTTTCCGTAGAAAGTTCCTGTGAGCGGTACCATAGATAACCCACGTGTCGCGTTGCCGTAACCAAATAAACCAAACCCGCTTCCAATATTTAAATTTGAGAGTTATCTTTGCAATTAGTTTACATTTCTACTTCCAAATTAGTAAATTTTTGTCCGTTTAGTACAACTATAAATATTCACCTTAAAAATGAAGGCGTATAGGGCATAACGGACAGACTAAAAATTTGCATAAGATGATTTATAGCCGTTAAACGTATCGAATTGAAAAATTTTGACTCGTATTTCGCCTCGTTTGTTTCTTTTATACGGCAACACGGCTCGACCGACAACGATAAAAATCTGCAGACAATAACATTTAGCGATTACAGTATATATTATTTTCTTCTGTAACGAACTGAGGACGTTTATATTCTTCAGGAGCTGTCGTTAAATGATAAATATTTACATTCGAGATCCTTGTAAAGACATTACTCGACAGAATACATATCCGGTCATTACGTATGCAGATTATAACGGAAGATAGGCGTTAGTGTCTTGGACTGACATTCGTAACATACGCGCATCTTAAATAATCATATGTAGCTGACTTTAAATACGGTGGAACTTCGATTTAGTGCCATTATTTGTTCGCCTCCGAAGTGGGCATTAAATCTTAGCGTTAAGCCGAACTATCTCGGACAAGAAGAATTTATATATAGCAATGAGCATCCGTACAAGCTCACACACAAGAACGCTCTAATACGTCTCAGCTTGTTCTGGTACTCCACTGCTGTGTCAATATAAATATAATAATATAGTAACTATTCGTTGACATCTCCGTTTTCGCGATTAATTAATTAAGGACAGACAGCAGACGACATTGGGAATTTATAGGTCTACAATTTTTTAAAATTGCCGCCTAAAACAATTCTTCCGATACTATAAAAGTTTTATTTTAAATGGTGAGTTTTTTTAGGAACTTTGCGGAATATAGTGCCGATTTTCCAGTCTACTATATGTCCAGAAATAGTATTAGAAGATCTGTTCGAAAATGTTGTTGGCATTAAGAGTGACTGTATATCGAGATTCCATAGCGTGCAGGAATTAGCCACATTGTTAATGTATATATCGATTTATTCACTTAGAAACTATACATTTTTCAACAGGAAAATACACAATTATCCCAAGAGTAAAATTTCCGGACGACCACGTTTTTCAGTTAATAACGAACAATAGTCAGAAAGTTGAAATCGTTACATAAATATACAAGTCGGCAACTTAAAGTTATATCGAATTATGCTGTTTCTTTACATTTTTCGTTTAAAACGTTAGCGTCTTTACCATGCTCGGAAGAAACGATAAGCCAATCACCTCTTTTGTATATTCTACCACAATATTTACACGTAACATTGTTCACCACGAAAATTGTTCTGCATAAAAACGTTTCGTTCGACGAAATATGCAAACATTTTTCTTCTTCAACCTTCCTGTATTATTTACAGATGTGAAGAAATCGAGAGGGAGTCGTTCCGATCGTTTTACGGATCAAATCACATGTAGAAATAAAAGTTACGAAGATGCAGCAATAAAATATATCGCGGCTCTTTAAACACAAAGAGAATAATATAGAAATATTTTATAGCGTGCTACTTCAAAACAAATGTACAACTTTAAACATGGAAAGGTATACACTCCCGCTCATAATTATAAGAACTCCACCACTTTTCTCTCTACAGCTAAAATTCATTTAAATCAATTGGCACCATTCCAAATGTTCCGAACTTCACTTTCTGCCAGCTGCTTGTCACGTGGCATTTTACATGCAGTAAACTGTTCTGTCTAGTCACACGACTATCTCTAATGTACAAAAATCAGTTAGAACGAGTATGCAAATATTGTACCCAACTGAAAAAATCGCGTTGTACGTGGAAATAAATAACAGAAATCAATTGTTTTAAAATAGATTTTCTGTTATTTTTACTTTCCCGGCTGTTACTTATACGAGTATAACGGGAAGTGTGGCGATCGGTCAAAAGATGATCCTGCAGATTTTTACATTTTTGGACTCGGAGACCTTGAAACGTCGAGAAATGCAAGCAAATTTGGATTCTTTTTCTGCGTGTATCTATGTTAGTGTGTGGGAGGCACGATTTTGTTTATCCACTTTGAAGCTTAACTCTTGTGCCTTTTGTCGAAATTTTCAGAAATTTTGCAGGGAAGTTTCAATATTACGGGCATTGATGCTATTAAGTTTTGGTGGTTAAAGGTCGAGGAGTTGGGAAGATAGAGGGGGATCGTGTGTCGTATCGCAAATGGGATAGGACTTAATGAAGATTTTGGTTACAATCAATTGGCACCATTGTTGGGGAAACAAGCAGATCAAGAGCAGAAGTTGAACATTTACTAAATAGAACGAACTATCAAGAAACGATTAGGAAGGAGAAAGAAGTTACATGGTAATGATTTTAGACGGATATCTAGACTAAGAACCAATGACAAAATGTCTGCTAGACAAATTTCTGCTCAAACGTCAACATCTATTTCTCGTTAGACTATTTCCCGAGTTCTCTATCAATCTATATAAGCAAAATATGCAAAATTGAAGAGAAAACCTGCTCTAATATATTGCCTAAAGAACTGTCATTCTCAAATAGATGGAGGACAATATTGAATATCTCTGATGAAAAGCGTTTCAACTTAGATGGCCCTGCTGGCATGCATTAATACTGGAACGATTTAAGGAAAGAACCAAACATTCAAATGATCAGACATGTGGAATAAATCATCAAGAACAACTAATTTAGCTGTTGTTCCTACAACGAATTCACAGAAATATATAGGATACGCAGTTATGCGCTTACGATTGATTTCTAGGTAGAGTAACTTTAGTTTTAAGCAGGATAGCGCAGCTTACCATACGTCTCGAGCGACCAAAAATGGATTGCAGAAAAACATTCAATCGCTGAATTGACCTGCAAGATCACCCAGATCTTAACATCATAAAAAACGTCTGGGGGACATGTGGTTCATGCAGTAAACAGTTTCACCCCTTAATGACCTCCAACATGCAGTGTATGATGCTTGGGACAATATTAATCACAGTATCTTTCATAACTAGTTCGAAGCATACCAAAACGCTTAGTTGAGTATCTTGAAAAGAAAGCTGACCCTACAAGTTATTGATGTAGCAAAAAAAGGTTTTATGTACTGTCCTTATACTTTTGGATTTCTTTTGATAACTCCATAAATATTAAGACATTAAAGTGCAATACATCTATAGAACCTCACATTCCATTCATTTAAGTGCGTTTTAGCTGTAATTAGAGGTGAACACAAAATTAGTGGTGTTCTTTATGCACGCCCGCTCATAATTATATTAGGTACTGTAACTGTAAACGAGATCTATAGGTATAAAAGATAATTTAAACCCTTTTTTGATTTTAGATATAGTATAACAAAATATCACACGAGATTTTGAAATGCCTTTGGTAACAGAAGCAAGATTTTGCATTGTGACGTTTAACTACTGGCTCCTTCTAAGATCTCGTTCCATTACTTTGAAACTTTTTAAATGTATCTTTTATTATAATTAATCAATAACAGATCCAACACGGTATAGAATTAAACATTTCTCCTAATTTTTGAAAACTTTTTTTTACGTATTGTTTCAATTTTGAATGGAAACTATTATTTTACGAAATTAGACTACCTTTTTTTTAGCGAAATCCTTTACATTATTAAAACTTACAATAAATATTTGCTTGTTTACAATTATGAAACATTGTCATAATGCCGAGCTGCAGTTTTTAATCATATTTTATATTTTTAAAATAAAAAATATATGCTCTCCATCTCAAATTAGTAGTGGCTTTCCCCTGTATTATTTTACGAAATTAGACTACCTTTTTTTTAGCGAAATCCTTTACATTATTAAAACTTACAATAAATATTTGCTTGTTTACAATTATGAAACATTGTCACAATGCCGAGCTGCAGTTTTTAATCATATTTTATATTTTAAATTAAATAAATTAGATGCTCTCCACCTTCAAATCCGTAGTCTTGCCCTTGTACTGTACATCATACTTTTAACAATCGCTCATCTATCTAACACAGTGTTTCTCAACATCTAACGAATCGTCCCCTTCACTTCAAAATTCTGATGCCGATGCCAAGGCTAACGCCAAATTCGTACTGCATTGAATAGACTAGTGACTAGTATAATGTTATTTGTTTAATTATTGTACGATATAACGAATAAAATATCTAATTATTCTTAATATAATGTTTTACTATATCGCCCAGAAAATTGTTTTTCGCCCCTCAAAATATAAATTGTTACTAATCGCCCCCTCAACATAGAAAAACGCCCACATGGGAGCGATATCGTCCCCGTTGAGAAACACTGATCTAACATATTTCAGGGGGAGTTTTTGAATTGAAATAACGCGACTTCCGGTTTGCATCGAAAGTTCGCATATAGCTAATCGGGCTTCTGCCCCTAATCTTTCCATATCTGGTCTATGCTTTCATCTGTCTAACTTCGTTCTCGAGATTAAGGACAGACAAACGACAGTGGGAATTTATAGTTCTAAAATTTTTTTCAAATTGCAACCCGATTAGCTTTATCTTTTGTGGATCTGCTCATGCCAATGGTGGGAACACTGGCACGCGCAGTTTCAGGTTGGTTAAAAATACCTCCCTGATCCATAACTTCATCGTCTCGACTTTAATTAATTCATGGGGTGCTCGAGTGCCGCGGTGTATCGGACAGTGCAACAAATCCCGGATCATTTAAACGAACATATTCGTGCACGCGCATAAAACCAGACCAAATTCGTCTACATCAACGGTATTCAAACATTTTAACAGTGCGATCCCAAGATAATTTTCCGCGACCCAATGATGTAGACCAGGGGTTCTATCTCCAGCGGAAGGGAAAGCATCCCTGAGCGCATCCGGTTAAGCCTTAGAAAATTTTTTACTACCCGAGGTATTCGGTATTACTCGGGATAAAACCCTTAGGAGGAGGATTAATTCCTAATTCGTCATTGGATAATACTACACTAACTATTGTATTGGCTAATCTCAAGCACTTGTTATATGATGGTCGACTTGTTTCCTAATGAAAATTGTTCGTTTATAAGGCAGTTTTAACAAATATATTATTATGATATATTATAAAGCATATAATAATTTAAATTGAGTCTTCTGGAAATTCTGAAAATTGAGTCTTCTCTCGCAAGAGTTTGTATTATTCGTTTAAAAGTTGTCTACCTCTAATGGTGAGACTTATAACAGTTATCACTGGCATTTTTTCATTTCCAGCTACAGTACTTGCAACTCGAGAACAGTTTTTGCTTCTTAGCTTGAAATTCCTGCACTTTCAGTTTAGACACTAATCTTTGCTTTCTTTTCATTTATACGCTTGCTGTTTCTAAATGCTTCTCTCCTTGCATACGTGCAGAAAGAATTAAAAATTTTGTAATGGGATAGGAATGTCACCTTGCTTGGTAAGAGTATCGTACACAAGCAATTCTAATGAAACTGAAATTGGAAGTAAAACTGAGTTGCTCCACGAGGCACTATTGTCGTTCTACGATATCTAAGGCCACCGCCATATCGTATACCCCTTTGTTGAAATAAAAATTGTTTTATGCGTAACAACTTCGCGAAGTTGTTACGCATAACAATTCCTATTATATTCCATTGTTGAAATGTTTGGCCGATCGTCACCAAATTCGCATCCAACCCATTAGAGTCGGCAGGTTCCCATTTCTTAATTTATTTCTCGATATCAAAAATAATTTTGTATGGAGCATCCCTTTCATAATGGTATAAGGCTACAATTATATATTCCTCATATGTATTGTGTGTTTTTGTGTGTGAGATAAAAGATATACAATAAAAAGATATGAAGAAACGTATTTTCTTGAGATGTTCGAAAATTTCAACAATAAATAATGCTTCGATCATTAATTAGACTATTATTTACTGCATTTATGAAAAGAACAATAATTGTAATTTTTTTTAATAATTCTGTTTTAAGACGATTTTGGAAGATTAAAATTAAAATGATCACGAAACGTTAAATATCAGTTTTATATTTTATTGCTGCAGTAAAATTAATTTGTGCGCGTAATAAGAATAAATGTAAACAGAAGCGTGTAATCCGAACGACAAACGCGAAATCTACGTTTTACATACAAGGGAACTATCTAAACACAATATTTACAATTAAAATTTTAAAATCTTTTGTTTAAAATTTTAAAGAACACACCAAGAAATTCCTAAAATCTGTTTTTTTTCCCTCTCGGTAAACCAGGCGAGATTATTATTAAGAGGCGTATAACTACGAACAATCGAATAATAATGTCGGATACCTATTGTCGTTTACAGTTATTAACAAATAAAATGCAGAACACTTCCAACAGTCGTCAAAGGCTGTTGGAAGTGTTCGATAATGGAAATAAAATATACAAATCCGGATAATTCCTTAGGAATAAATTGGAGGCGGCACCATCTCCGGTACATAAATGTAGAACGGGGAAAAGGTTCAAGAGCAGGCGGCCAGAAGACTCTCGGTGCCGGGCACGCACACTACCTTGTCACGGACCTGTCCCAGTAAGGTCAGGGCCCCTCCGGTCCTTCCCACCATCACCGATGCCAGGTCCTGCAGGAATTCGATGGAGGTGCCCACCTCCACGTCCAACACCAAGGATCCCACGTCCAGATGCGTCTTCCCCGATCGACGTATCCGCAGTTTTCCCAGGTAACCCTCCGGCCAGTCGGCCAACGTGCCGCACTTACCGTTCGCTTTCTAGTTTAAAAATTTCAAAATAAGTAAATTAATCTTCGATTTCTTCCAGAAACTAGACTAAAATTACAATTTAATTAGAAATTAACTTATTATCAGACGAAAATTTTCGCAATAAACGCTCGAAAACTTTCCATCCAGCATTCGAATTTCTAAGCCGCTATTTTTAAAAGTTCGAAAATTATTTTTAAATTATCCGCCAGCGGAAAGACCTCTACAAAAGAGATTCTCATCGAACCCGCCGGTAACAAACCAAATCGACGACGTCAAACGAGAAAAATCTAATCGTTCGCTGGGCTTCCTCCAGATTTCTATAAATTTAAACTATAAACGATGAAGATACTTGCCACTTTCTTCGAGTGAGCGCTTTTCCTCTGAGAAGAGGAGGATTCGGCGTTGGTCTCCGTCTTGTTTCTGTGCTCGTCCTTATCGGTCAGACCGGGCAGACAGTTCGGAAATTGGAAAAATATTAATTTACCGCACTCTAAAGAATAATTTGAAAAAGTTTAATATTCGAAGAAGAGAGTAAGGACTGTGGGAAAATGATAAGAAAGAATACTCGGTAGCTCCGTTGATGAAAATAATTTGCCAGTTTCCAGTGGAGGGTCTTCTTGACCGGATCGATTCGACGCTCCTTTTTTCGAACGGGCCTCCGAAGTGTCGTTGTCGCTTTCGTCGTCCGACTCCACCTTGACTTCGTTACAAAATTAAAAACAAAATTATCATTTATCATCATTTATATTTCAAATAAATAAAATTATAAAATTATTACGGCGTCGTCCTAAACAGCGCCAACGAATACCTGAGAATAGGTCTATAGCAGCGATTCCCAACCTGGGGTACGCGATAAGTTGTTTAGGGGTACAGAAAGAAGTTAGTTATTATGGCAGAAAAAATAATATATTATGTATCACAAATTAATAGTATTAAAAAATTATTAGGTAAAAAATGTTCCTTGCAATAATCACAAACTTTATTATACATTTCAAAATGCAAAAATAGAAATAAAACTTATGCTGCCGATTGTACAATACAATGCAACAATTGCAACATTTATTGATCAACAGATCAATAAATGTTGCGCAGTCGGTCAATGGTACAGTAGTGGGGATACCATTATGCATGATTAGTAATTATGTTACAGACTTTTGATGCTGGGGTGTTACCGTTATTATTATCATCTCTCGACAATATTCCCACGTGTTGTTTGAAAAAAGTATTATTTTAAAGATTATTTTAAAAAAAAGTTTATTTTTTATTGTTACTGTAGGAAGGAAAAGGACATAGCTAGTTTCTCCAGATTTTCTCTACAAGCGGTAATTTTTTTCATTATTTATTCAGTATTTTTATTAATTTTTTATGACAAAACTATGTCTTGTTTATAAAATCGTACTGCCTGCTGTGTTACCAGCTTAGAGGTATGAAGAAGTACATGTCAGAAGTTGCAATTTGACACAGTGTGTTAGGTGCCCAAATCATGCACGCATTAAAAAACAGACTTGTAGGTACTCGGGACCGAGAACTGAGTCAAAATAAAATTCAAAGTGGCGACACTCTCTACAAACAGGCAGTGCGAGATTTGCGTATGCGTTGCTGGTTAGGAAGTTGGAAATGACACGGGGGGTACGCTAATGAAAAAAGGTTGGGAACCGCTGGTCTATAGCATAGAGTAAATGGAGAACCTTTCGTATCCATAAACGACTAAACGTACGATCTCGCATCTCAAATGACAGCATACCATCTAATCGCGTGACTCTCAAACTAACTCGTTTATAAATTTCATTCTTTCAAATATTTCGGTTTAGTGCCAATTTCGAGGGCAACAAGGTAGCGCTAAATCGAATCTTGACTGCATCCGTTAGTCTTGTTTTAACGAAGGCACGGGCAGTCGGATTTTAAGTGGGTGGATTCTTTAAATAACGGTCTAACATGCTTAAATATTTGAAGCAAGAATAACTGACTTCCGGTTGTACTCTCATAACATGAAACGTGAATAAGTAAAATAGTTGCATTTATTTAGGATTCTGTAATGACCTCATAATCATATCATCGGAAAAATATGTTTTAACATTTATTCAGGTGCAAAAGAGATCTCCCCGGCAATTCATAAGTACAGTTCATGCACAGCCTTTGGCGCATTAATTTCACTACAATATTTACAGTAAAATAAATGAATTCACTCAAAAAAAATAAGTGTAAATCACAAAGTTTCGAGGCAATAAATAAAACTTCCAAACTTAATAACAAAGTGCTATCTTCATAAATTGTGTGGTGACACACTACACCACGTGATGCACGAGGCTTATAAAAGAGCTAATGTCATGCTCTCTGGTAGAGCTCTGCAACAATATTTTATACTCACAAACGATTACATTTCATGAGGAAACAGGACTAAATACACGAGAAGCAAGCATGTAGATTCCGTAAGCTCTTTCCAGTTGTAACAAGAACAAGACGTTTTGAACATATTCTAGCAAAATAAAGCTAACTACAATTATTATTTTAAAAAAAAGTGAAGATTACAGAACAATTGTCTCTGATATCTATAATCAATGTCAAATATTAGTATTGTAGAGTCCGGGATCACTTTATACCTAGAATAAGAAAGGAGTGGCTTTCTTATTACTGTACTTTTATTTTCCCAACTGTTATACAGCGTGTACCGTCAAGATCGCATAAACTCTGCAGAACGAGAAACCTCGATTGGAGTACATAAAAAATAACCTATCCCTCTACGGCCTATAGTTTTCGAGAAAAACGCGAAAGAAATAGTATGACATCACATCCGGTGCACGGAAAATAAGATCTAATACATGAACGTCCTTTTTACCTGATCTTTGCATGCCATGAAGTATTCATTATAAACAGTTTGAAGGAATTATTATCATATTATATACAATTTAAAGCAACAGTGAAAGGAACTGTGATCTGTAATGAACGCACCCCTTAATAATAATAAACGATGGTATCCGTTATTATTATGTTTTTTCGATCTCAAACTTAATATTCTTATTAATTTTATTTACTTCCTTGAGTATAAAAGATTCTTCTACTTTATTTTTATCAAAACGAAGAACATTTGATAAAAATAAAGTAGAAGAATCTTTTATACTTAACTTTTTGTTGTTTGCATTTATTTTATTTATTTCATCAGTTACAATACTGTAAGGCCATGCAATACTTACAGTAATACATTTTGGTATTCATTTAATTGATGTTTTTGAATATGAATTATTTCTTTTATCTTTTCTCATCACCAACAAATGGGCACATGCTTGTGTGTTTGTTTTTGGAACATTTAATTTACCTAAGTGCATACAATAAAATGCAAAATTTATGACAAACTTTGATACATCAAACTGTTTATGCTTATATAAAACATTTTTGCTATTGTCATTTCTCATATTTTATGTCACATTCAAGTATTTATCAATTCTCTTTAGGTAATCATATAAATTTACCATCAGAATAAATTCATCACACTCTCATAACTGAGTATTCAATTAGCTACTTCAGAATGATGCATTGATCACCCAATTATCTGTCATCTTACAAGAAATATTTATTAAATTTCTTAAAATTAGAATTTCATTGTCATTATTATTTTTTTTATCTTGACTGAATCAAAATATTAGGTAAAAATGACATTCAGACAATGTGAAAAGTATAATATATTAATATATTATTACATGATTGTGAAAAAAGATTTGTTTTAGTTAAAGCATATCAAACTAAATCAATAAAATTTTAGGAATGCATCTAATTTAGTTTTTAAAGGATTCTTTTTAATTGTAACTACTGTAATTAAATAGTAATTTATTCAGATTAAGAATCACCTGATATAGGAACCAAGGTTTAGATCATTTTTTTCCACTTTAGATTTGCCTTTTTTTTCCCTTAAAAATTCTTGGTGAGTTGCTTAAGGAAATAAATAAAATTAATGGGAATATAAAGTTTGAGTTTGAAAAAACACATAATAATAAAATTAATTATTTAGATATTACAATGAATAGGGATAAATCTGGGTTCATTTTCACAAAATATGAAAAACCATGCAATATTAGAAATGTCATAAATTTTAAGTCTTATTTCCAATTGGTATTAAAAAAATTGCTTTATGGTAAAATATAGAAAATATGGAGCAGGGTCACTACATTATAGGATAGTTTATAAGAGACTGATAGATTAAAAAAGAAATTAGTCAAAAAACAATTGCTATCCAAAGTAAAACATGTGAGATGTAAATATTTTGGCACCCAAAATGAAAGTCAAATTTTTTCTTGGGAAAGCACCAAGCTTATCTTTCTTTGGTAGAGATAAGCTTGGCACTTCGAAGCAAGATAAGTGTTTACTTTCCAGGCGATCCCATGACTAACTATAAGTGTTCAGTGATTTTATCTTGTGGTGTTCAGAGTGAGAAGTATGCGATCCCGCGAGCGAAAAGGGTACAAAAAAGTCTCACGACACAAAGTATTATTTTTCTCACTGAACAGGTTCGTTTATTTGATCCCAACTTTACAATTTTTCGAATCTTACGCGTATACCAGTGCTCAATGGTACACTTCGAAAACAGTTGTCTATTACTCACGCGACAAAAAAACTGAAGAGGACCAAAATTACTTAATCTAACTTACACTAACTTATGACTAAAGAAGAAAGAATATAGAATATAGAGATAGACTAGGAAAGAAGTGGAAATACCCGGGTTTAGGTTCGGTGAGCCCTTGGTTGGAGAACACTTTGGACTAAGAGGCCTCCCCTCGATGATCTCTCTCTCTGTCTCTGCACTTTTTGTTCTTAGGTCACTTCTTATTTTGTAGACCTTTCGTCTACAATCTTCGTCTTCAGGATTGAGTCGTCTTTTATCACCTCTCACTTGTAGACTTTCCGTCTGCAGTCCTTCCTTTTTCTTTTCTCTCTGTTCGCTTTGTCTCAGATCACTTCACTTGTAGGAGCACCTCTCTGTTCGCTCCTGCCTGCTCGAGATCTCCACTCAATCTAATATTCTTTCTCTCTGTTTTTTGCCTCCGGGCCTCACTCCCTTCTCCTTTGTTCATTATTTCTTCGAAAAGGGTAATCCCCCCAAGGGCAAAAAGGGTTCAGACAAAGAAAATTATAGGAAGGTTTAGGGAAAAGAAAGTTCTAGATGTTTTTAGACAAAGAGAAAGGAAAGCCTAATACTAATATAACAAAAAAAAATATAGGAAAATATAATGTATCATGGCTGACGGCCACATTTGCCCCCCTAAGAGTCATACTCCGTAGTGTAATCTACGGTAGTTGACTTTACATTTCCGAGTATTATAGGGGTGTTGCGGCATTCTCTTTTCATCATCCTCGGTACATCTTCCACTGGCACCTTCGTTCTCGACTTCTCCCGCACCCTGTGTGGGTGAATTTAGTACGGGTCTTCTCCTGGGTAACCATGTCCGGATGTAATCAGTAGGATCTTCCTCTTCTTCTTCATCTCTTGCGGGTGACTCTCTCCTCTTCGTATATTGGGGATTCCTCCTCTTACCCTCTTTGTATATTGGAGCGTAACATGGTTTGACCCAGTCTGTGTGTACCACCCATTTCTCATCTTTACGGTTGCTGCTAAGTTCAACAGTTACAGGACCCAACACACGTACTATCCTATATGGGCCCAAGTACTTTGGAGAAAACTTCCCGGTGCTCTTTCTCCTCCCTTTCCGAAGTAACCATACCCGCTGCCCTTCTTCCCATAATTTCTCCTTTCTACCCTTGTTTTCTCTCCCCCTATTTTCTAGGTTACGTTGCCTTCCTAATTCATATGCGACTCTCCTGATTATATTTAATTTATTGAAGAAATCGCATCCCTGATCAGTGTTATGTAACCCTTCAATATCTTCTTCTGGGAAGGCACTCTGGAATCGTGGGTCAAGACCATATAATAGGAACGCAGGGGATTCGTGGGTAGCAGAGTGAGCAGAATTGTTGTAGCCAAACAGAGCTGGACTAATGAACTCATCCCATTTCCGGTTATCCCCATCCGATATCTTTGCAATAGTCTTACATAGGGTCTTATTCAGACGTTCACAAACGGAGTTTGCACAAGGGCAGTACGCGGTCGTGATATTATGTTTGATGGCTAGCTCGTTACACATTTCCCGAAAGATGCTCGACGTGAAGTTGGTCCCTCTGTCTGATACTATGACATCAGGGCAACCATACCTACATATAATGTGATAAAAGAAGCTATCAGCGACTCGCTGTGCGGATTGGTCAGGTATCGGGACTGCTTCAGCATATCGCGTATATATGTCGACCATGGTAAGGATATACTTATTACCCTTCGAAGTCGTCTGCAGCAGGCCAATAATATCCATTGCAACCTTCTGGAAAGGGAACTCTGAAGTCTCTGTCTCCTGGAAGGGTGCACGACCCCTATGCAAGTTGTGCTGTTGACAAGTCCTACATCGCTTGATTAAGCCTTTTACGCGACTCTTCAGATTCTTAATATAGTAATACCTATCGATGAGGTTACACGTTTTTTCGACTCCCAAGTGTCCCGATAAAGGAGAATTATGAAACTCCCAGATCACCCGATCAACCATCCCCTTGCCTACACACACACGGACCCACTTTCTCAGCCCCATCTTGCCTGGTTTAGTGTGCATCATCACGCCCCCTTCCAAATGAAATTCCGGCTGGATCCCCCTGATGTCCTCATTCCGTTTATGACACTTAAGTCTTTCCCTCATCTTTCTTAAAAACTCATCATCACCTTGTGATTCGACTACTTTACCCCAGAGTTCTTTATTCGCTCTCACATCGTTGTTCACCTCCTCGATCCCATTGCTATTTACGTTTATTCGTGATAAAGTATCAGCCACCTCGTTGCGCTTCCCTTTTATGTGACTTATCTGAACATTATAGTCTGCTATCTCAGCTGACCACCTCATTAATCTCCTATTGTGGTTCCTCATGTTACCCATGAAAATGAGGGGTTTGTGGTCAGTTAAAAGATCGATCTGGTGCCCTAACACTATTGGCTTAAAATGGCGCAGAGACAGGATTATAGCTAGGCATTCTTTTTCGATGGTAGAATAGTTCTTCTCAGCGCCATTAAATTTCCGACTGAAATAGCCTACAGGGTAAAGTTTCTCATCCTCCTTTTGACACAATACTGCGCCTGCGCAACTGTCCGACGCGTCAGTGAATAACTGAAAAGGGGATTGAAAATTAGGGTGTTTTAATAAAGGACGTCTATCTAAAATGTTTTTAAATTCCTCAAAGCTTTACCGGCAGGTTTCGTCCCAAACAAACTTACTATGTTTTTTCGTCAAATTTGTTAGAGGTAACGCGATAGTGGAGAAATTAGGCACGAAACCTCTAAAAAAACCCACCATCCCTAGAAAACCACGTACTTCCCTTACGTTCCTTGGGGGTTTCATGTCAATAATTGCGTGTATGTTTTCTATGTCTGGACGAATGCCGCTTTGATTTATCACGTGACCTAAATACTTAACTTCCTTAACAATGAAGGAGCTCTTTTCAGGATGTAATTTCAGGTTGACTTTATTTAAGGTGCCTATCACCTCATCTAGTAATATGATGTGGTCCTCAAGCGACTTTGAGAAAAGGACTATATCATCCTGAAAAACGTAACAATTAATTCCCACAAAGCGGGCCAGTACCCTTGACATTACAGCTTGAAAGAAGCGGCCGCTATTCTTAGCNAAAAGGGTTCAGACAAAGAAAATTATAGGAAGGTTTAGGGAAAAGAAAGTTCTAGATGTTTTTAGACAAAGAGAAAGGAAAGCCTAATACTAATATAACAAAAAAAATATAGGAAAATATAATATATCATGGCTGACGGCCACAATCTACTCAACCACTGGTGGGCCTTAAATTAATAAAAGCTATTTTCTGAAAGTACAGAACATGTTTTGCAAGATACGCATAACATTTGCTATGAAATGGCCTTTATGGGTTAATATCATTTTGATATCTAAATTTATTGAACTGTCCATTTTCTAAGAAATTTCTTTAGATACTACATAATAAAAAAGTATTTTTCTTACTTTGCATTTTACCAATAATAAATTTGAAGTTGGCATTGCCAGAGTCGAAAGAATTTTACCGACTCTGACTCCACAACACTGGTGTGTAGGTGAGAAGAGTTGAATGTGATGCTTGGAAAGTCACTTCTCACACTACAGACTTAGCTACAGTGAGAAGTTCTAGTGAGATGACAACATACCTATCCCATCAGGCATTACAAATCATATCTCATAAGTAGATCTCACACAGCAGGCTAGAACCCCAGGAGAGACTTGTTTACCTGTTGCAGTGGAACTACCATGTGATTTATACACATCCTTTTTTTTGAACGAATTTATTTACTCTCAAAATTGTGGAACTAACACATTGTAAGTTAAATATATATATACTGCATTACATGCATTACTGGAAAGATTTCTCTTGTATCTGTTAAAGCAAACACCCTGCATATTTTTCCTTTGGTAGAATTTTAGGATTTTGCCATGACCCCAAGACTAAGCATTTTTTGCTAATGCCCAAAAATGAGTTTAATAAAATGGTGTAGTAATCTTAATATTTGAAAAGTGTATAAAAATATTGCCATTTATCTGTGTATTAACTTACTTCTAATCCACTGTTTTTTCTTTTTGAAGTTCTGTTGAAATCTGTTGATCCCGGAACTGGCTGGCAATACTACTGGATAGAGACGATCTCCCTCGTCCTCTTTATTGTCATCTTCATAGTCAATAAACTGAAAGAAAATTTTAATAATTATGTTTAAATATTCTGCCATTAGAATCTTTATACCTTTATAAAGTTTATAAATTAACTGGTTAAAACAATAAGCTTGATACACTCAACAACAAATAATTTTTAAACAATGTATAAAATATAATTTTTCATATTCAAGATCTCATTTTAACTTAATAGATTCAAATCTTTGGATTAATCATTGTTAATAAACAACTTTAGCACATTCTGTTGATAACTGAAAACTACTCAATCTCAACTAAAAAATCCTCTTCTAGAACATCTTGTAGACAAAAACACTACAAGCAGAGGAAACCCTACATAAAGACTTAAAAAAGGTAATGCCTGGGGCTTTGCAAATTTGGTAGTATATTTTAGTAGTTAAATCATCAATTTGTAATTACTGAAAATATAAATGTACTGGTATCTTGGTTCCAGTAGAATGATCACTTTCACAGTTAAAATTGATCAAGAACTATCTTCTCTCTCTTGATATCAACAATGTGCCAAGAGACTTTCTTCACTTTTGATCTTGTTCACTGGAAGAAATATTGCTGCTGAAATGGTCTTTTCTTCTGTATACCTACTGAACATTCCAATTCATTCTAAAACTTTATTGTATCTGTATTGTCTACTTGGACCTTGTTTATTAATACAGTAGAACCTCGAAAACTCGGCTCTCGATAACCCGGCACTCCGGATAACTCGGCCACACCCTGGCAGGGCAAAAAAATCCTTAGTTAATTAATTTTCATTATAGATAGCTTCATAAAAGTATAAAAGTTCTCATAAAGTATTTTTCTGAGGTCTGTCTTATCAGGTAAATTACTGTACACAGTGTATTCATTAATTTTCATTTTCATGTAGTAAAGGCTCTATGCCTTCATAAAGGACATACTTTTCCTTTGTTTAAGGGTATTTGGGCAGTTTATTCTCTGTTTTATTCTCAAGTAAGCAATACATACAAGTACAGTACAGTATTTTCTGAGGAAACACTCGTACTTCTTTTTTTTAACCCCATTCCCGATAACCCGGCATTTTCACAAACTCGGCCACCCTTCGGTCCACATTAGGCCGAGTTTTCGAGGTTCTACTGTAGTACTTATTATATCAGTGTACTTTTTGATTAGCAAAAAGAGGAAATATTAGTCAAAAGTCAAAATGAAATATCTTTATTTTCACCTATATACTCTTTTTGCATGTTTCAGACCTAAAGGTCCCTCTTCAGCAGGTTTGCAACATTCTAAAACAATTGCATAAAAACTTTTTAAAACAATGATATTACACCTGGTAATATTTAAAATATGATAAAATTACTTACATTTTCATTTACAGTTTTATACAAAATGTTAATAATAATAACAATAATAATAATAAATAATAGAAGAAAAATAGTAGTATATTCTTTTCAATGTAGTTGTGGACAAAAAAAACATATATAGGTGAAACAAAAAGAAAACATAAAATACAGGTATCCCTTGTACTACATGGTTTTGCCCTGACATGGTTCAAAAATTGAGGATATCCTCCATACAACACAATTTCCAGTTTCACTCTAACACGGTTTTGGAAATCTTCCATACAAAATTTCACAATTGTTAAATGCAAAGTTTGTTGTTATATATTTTTTTTTATTCAAGTAAGCATGCATTGTCTCAAATTTGCCCAAGAATTTTATAATATTGAAATTTTCAATTTGCTTTGTGCCTTTCATCAAGTTTACTGTAATGAAGACTGATAGTGCAATTTCTTCCTTGTCCTAGCTTTCCTATCAACCAGGTGTTGTTGTTGCTTTCAACTTTAGTCCTTAAGACTGTCACCATGCTTTCTTTTTATAGATTAATCTTCGTATTTAGTAAAGTTTATTTAAACATTTTTAGGTAAGTGCCATTAAACTTTTTTTTTTAACTGTAGGTAAGCAATGGGACTGCTTTGGACATGACTCTGAGCACTCCAGATCTACTGGAAAGCATATACTGGACAGTAACAGCAGATACACTCACCAGCAACCACACCCCATCCACAAAACATTCAATTGATCACACTAAGGGTTTATCCAGGCACAATATAGAGAGAGATGCCAAATAAAGTGAGGAAACTACACAAACGTTAGGAAAGATGGGAGACAACTCAGAAAACCACCTATTAAACCTTCATAATTAGCATAGCAACAGCACAGACTTAAACATGAGGTGGATGATAGATAGAGCCCTAGCCTCTCTGCCATGTAGACTCCAACATGCAAACTACTGCAAGCCAGGTAACAACAGGTGTTTAAACGAGTCTGAAGACTCACCTCCACCTCTTGGTGGATAGTCTACAAAAAGACAAGTGTTCAATTAAGTTGAGTGCTACAACAAGAAAGATGATGGTGATAGTAGAATTTTTGCACTTCCCCAACTCCCTCCACAGTATACCGGATATTTTGCAAGCTTAAGTCTCCAACTCCATCTCTTGTTGACATCAAACAAGACAACAATGACTGATGCAGAAGACCAAGCAAATCTCTTAGTGGAGTATTTCAGCTGGAACAGACCTATAGGAAACATTGCCCCACAACACCAGCAAACCAGCAGTCACCAAGGGCAGGAAGAACTGATACAGTTGTCAGAGCTGAAAACAGCCATCCAGACCTTGAAACAGAACTCCCCTCACCTAGATGGTATCCACTTCTTGATGCTCCAGCACCTTCCGTCAGAGTGGGAAAACACTTTGCTAACCCTCTTTAATCAAATTTGGGATACAGGCTGGAGCCCAGGTATTTGGAAGCATGTCACAATCATTCTGATATGGAAACCAAAAGAAAAATCCAACAACTCAAAAAATTACCATCCAATATCCCTCACATCAATTATCACAAAGAACTTTAAAACCATAATTTTAACATGCCTCAAATAGCAAATCTTCACAACCCAACAACCACTTTGGTTTCATCCTGTATAGAGGGGTAAAAGAGGCTCTGGTCATAATATACCATCACATCACAGTGGGACAAAGTTGCCATCATTGGGTCTACTTGGTAGCACTAGATTTCAAAGGTGCCTGTGACTTAGTATGTCAACAAGGGTTAAGGTTAGCTTGGAAACTGTCTATCCTGGGCATAACAGGAAAAACTCTACACTAGATAACAAACAGGACCTTTCAGGTGCAGTGACAAGGAACACTCTCTCACCACCAGCAGTTTTCACAAGGTGTACCACAGGGTTGCATCCTAGCTCCGTTACTCTTTACATGCTACATGTCCAACTTGTGGAACATCCTCTTGCCGAATGTAACAGGAATCCTATAAGCAGATGACCTTTACCTAATAATGACAAGCCCATTGACAGATAGCAGCAACCAGAGTACAAAAGACTCTCAACTCAGTGGAACACTGTGCATCAACATGGAACCTCCATTTCTCAGTGCAAAAAAAAGTGCCAGCATTGATTTCTTGCTCCAGTGACACCATTCTCCTCTCACTTTGAATCTAACCACAGGTCCCAGGCCTCAGAATCCTGGGTATGCACTTCATCACACCTTCACCTGGAACATGCACATGACTTTCATATGGACAAAAATTGGCTTGAACAACCTTTTTTTTTGAAATATTTTGCAACACTCAAGAATGGAGCCCAGACCAAGGATCTGCTGAAACTAGTGAAATCAGTACTAAGCTAGATGGCCACTTTCAGTGTGCCTCTACTGGAAAGAGCTCCCCTATTGTAGGGGATAGAGTAGAATTGCTGATATACACTGTGCTCAGGATAGCCCTCAGCTTTCTGTGATCCACCTCTCTAATATCCATATACATGGAAGCATGTTACATTCCTTTGAGGTGACAAATATGCCATGCACTGTCCTTTGCCATCTCCCATCTGTAGCATGGCAAATTCAGCCTCATCACAAACCTGTTATAGACCACATAGAGGCTCAAGTTTTACAGGTGAAGGAACTTTCAGCAACCATACGTCATAAGGGCGGAGCCCCTTTTACACAAGACAACCATGAATGTCTTCCACATCCACCTCCAACAGAGAGTGCCACCACCCTCCCACTACAGGAACAAGATCTGTCTAGTGCCAGATTCAGAACAGCCTTATCTCCCCCATGTATTGTAGCAGCCCAATACCATGCAATAATGCCAGAAAATTGGCTGAACTGGATCCTAATAGGGAACAACGCAACTAAAACCCCCATCTGTATGGCAGCAGGAATTATGCAGCCAGTGAAAAATACCAGGGAGGTGCTGGCAGTTAACCCCCAGTGTAGCATCTTCACAGCAGAAGTTTGGGAATATACAGAGCCCTACACCTGAGAGTTGCTGGTAGTTATTGTCATGGACAGTTGGTCTACCCTAAAGCCCTCACCGGGGTGATGTATGCCTGACCCTCTCTCCTGATCAATTTGGCAGCAAAATTAACCTCTTACCAGACCCCAGTTGTCCTTGGGGTCTGGTAAGAGGTTACAAACATTGTCCCTCCAGATGTATGGAAACTCTGCTCTGCCATGAGTCTCACTCGTGCGTCTGTCTGAAGTAGCACAGTATCAGTGCCGTTATGCACTGATACTGTGCTGTATCAGTATCAGTGCATAACAAAGTAGCACTGATACTGATACGGCAAAACGGTAGAGGGTCCTGGTGTAGAGAATATAATGAAGTAGCACAGTATCAGTGCCGTTATGCACTGATACTGTGCTACCTCATTATTTTCTCTACACCAGGACCCTCTACCCTCCCCTTGTGCCCCATTGTGGGACATCATGGCTATGCACCATTTTTGGCTAGAATGTCCACATTACATCCAGGTCCAGAATGACTTGTGCAACACATTTCAGCAACCCCTTACAGAGAAATCCAGCCTGATCTCAATCTATTGGCCAACAGTTGACTCACCTAGAAGCTGGATTGTGAAGACCTTAGAACAATACATCTGAAGAACAGAATGCCTAAACTAACCGACATAGGTCACAGCATTGGAAGGAAAAGTGCTTGAGCTAACTAGAAAAAGGAAATAAGAA